TCAACCCAAAGATCACGACTGCTCAACCTCACAGAAATCTGACCCCGAGGCTCCTCCCTGCTCCTTAAGGCACCTGCCAACCTTTCACCCCTTCACTGGGTGAGCATCTGGAAGGTGATGAGGCACAGACACGAAGGCCAGGGTGGGCTGTTGCAGGGTGGTAACAGATAGCCCTAAGGAGTCATTAGACTTCAGAAAGCTGGTCCTATTTGTTTTCACAGATTAAATACCTACTCCCCCTTCTCTATTACATGTTTTGAGTGTGTCTGTTGGTATTACTTCCCACGTCTCCTTCTTTTTGTGTTTTTTTCCCCCTTCATGTCCATCTTTCTTTAACAGTGCACACACAGATCAGACAGGCTATGATGTGTGCACAGCTGGTCTCGACAGAGCCGTCCAGGAAACGTGTGGTTTACAGATCCCCTGTTGACACGCTGATTTGAATTGCCTTTTTCCTTTTCAGAAACCTGGAATTTTTACTGTGCAGGGGACATTGAGGTCCGACTCAGCATGTTTGACCACGGTGGAAAACCAATCTCAGTGTGCTGCATCCTGACTGACTGACTGATTTACTGAGTGGATATGTCACAGTGCATACTGTAAAGCTCAATCCAAAATCTTGATTTCTTACCACACATGCACTGGCCCCACACATGCTCACACCATTTGTTACAAAGATTCTGTACCATTAGTTTCTTTAAAATGCTATTCCCACGCCTCGGTTTTATGGAAACAGTAATATCCAAGTTGTTAAGTTACAGGCAGAGACTACAGACATACTAAATCTGAAGCTACGCCATCCTAAAAGTTACACCTTAGGGCCAAAAGCTATGCAATAAAGTTTGGTTCACTTCACTCACTTGATTGAAAAGACAGGATTTTAATGGTTCTAACCAGTGAACCATTCTTTTCAGGTTAGCGTAAAATCAATCTGCAACGTGAGGCATTCACATTGTTGGTTTAAGAGGTTAGAGTGATAGTTCAGCATTATGCAAAATACAGTTGCTTACTTTCTTGTCAAAAATTAAACTAAAAGATCAAATTTTGTGTCTAACAGGAGGAAACAGCCACTGTGTATACCAGAGGTTTCCAGGGGTGTCATATGTGTCAAACCCATTTTAGTTCATGGGCCACATGCAGTCCCAGTTCACTGGCCTGTAAAACCCATGCATAATAATATGTATAAAATAATAATGATGATAATAAAACGAAAAACCTTGAAAATTTCCCCAGTGCAATGAAACATTAAAAAGCTCACATTTAATGAACCAGCTTTTTACAAAACAGACGACGAACAGCCTGAAGTGTCTCATTGAAAACAAAATACTCTAAGCTTAATTCAACAGTACATCTCAGTTTTTTCACATTTGCTCATCTTCACATGAAGTAGGCCACTTAGATCCAAACAACAACCAAATTTTACATCTTTATGAGTCAAATAACTTTTGTCAACATCTTTCAAAACTTGTAAAATTACCCAGACATTCCCAACCTCTGCAGTAATGCTGCAATCACCTAATTTTCAGCAATAGCATTCTCTTCCTTTGAAGTGCTGTAATTATTAATGACTTTGCTGCACTTTTACACATTGCAAACCCATGCGCTGGGTCCAATTGGATCCTTTGGCAGGCTGGCTCTGGCTCCATATGTTTGAGGCTCCTTCTCTAAGGAGTCACTACTTCTAGCCAAGAAAAAGCTTCAGCTTTATATTTAACAGACGTACATGGGAGTGGTAACTCTTAACATCTAGGCCTGTAATGTACAGTATCATGCCAAAAACATGCTAGTTGTAGGGCTGTGCGGTGTATGCAGTATGTGTCACGCCTTCCACTACACACCCATTGCATAATGCTAATTGTATCATTCAATTGAGAATACAAAGCTTAGTAAACAAATCCAATAGAGTGGGATATGCCACCGGAGTGTAAACATTAAATTGACTTAGCCCTGTGTCTTCCCTCACAATTGCAGTGCAGTGGGTTACAGTGGCCATATGGGCTCCGTCAAGCATTACTGTCACCCCTCATTTAGAATAGTGAGGAGAGATGGCCCTGCTATGCCCCTCAAATCCTCTTAGCCAACATTTAGCTGATTGATTTTTTCTCCCCCTCCTACCTCGATTTAGATCATCAATGCGATAAAAGCAGGAAGTTGTATATTATGAATTCCATTTCGTCTCATGTGGAGATGGATGGACGGGTAAAAGGAACATAAATGTTTCAGCAATCACTGCGTCTGGAAGAAAAATATCCAGGCAGCGTTATTAAATTTAAAGGCGGCGCAAACTCAGTAAAAGAAGCGAATGATCTGAGTGTGATTCAATCCTTTCGGCAAATAACCTGTGTCACATGGAGGAGGACTCGTCGCCTGTTGTGATTGCATATATATAAAAAGTTTGTCCGGTTATTTAAGAATAAATGTACTTCTTCAATTACATAAAAGTTTTGCTGCTGTGTTTTAGTGGGAGCTGGCAAAATCAACTTTGAATCACATGCGCATTATAATGATGTCTTTTTAAAAATTATTCACCCCCCTGTCTGTTTAATTCTTAGTGCCGGCCTCCATCACAAAGAAGCATGGTAATAGTTTTGACTCAGCAGAATAGCATTAAGTTGGTTCCTCTTAAACAATGTATTCCCCTTCAGGCTATAGAAACCACTCTGTGCATTAAACAAACATCTCAGGCCTCTTGAACATGACGTTCAGCTCCATGTTGGCTGGGTTTGGGGATTCCAGCAGACCAAGTCCTATGTGTTCTCCAGATGGCACCACACACTGTCTCTCGCAGATTGTATATACCCCCGAGATCCCTCATAAATTCAAATTATTGCCTCCTCCCCACCCCCATCCTCTCCCCTTGAACTATACTAAATGATGATCATGGAGATTATGTATTAGTAATTCCTGCCAGGTCTTTAAAAGAATGCCCATGCTGTGTGCTTAATACTCAAAGGAGGGATTATGCAGACCCCTACATGTGGTGTTGTGGCTGCATACCTCCAGTCAGACTAAACCCAATCTGTTACAGATTTGGACTACGGTAAAAGAAGAGAGGTGCAGCAAGCAAGCAGGGGGGTAGGTGGAAGGTTGCGCAGGCCATATTCATACTTTACAGTACATTCCACTTCTTCTATATCATGGGGGATCAGAGCTAAATCTCCCTTTGGAGGTTGTATTTTTATCTGTGTGCATAAGGACGTTAAAAAAAAGAAAGAACCTTGGCTTGTGTCAAGGCTATACGCTTTATTATTTTTCTCTCAATCTCTCTTTTTCTCCTTCATTTTTTATTTTCCCTTTGTGGTCGAGGCAATCCCAAATCCCCATACAGCTTCCCCTTGAATGTGGGTCCAATTAAACACATATGTGGATTTTCATATTGAAGCTCATAAAAGGTAAACGGCAGTGATTTACATTACATTTACATAAGGAATGCTAAGTGCCTGCACATGTGAGGTGTTAATACATCTATCGAAAGCAGATGGTCATCTCTATTCATTGCTCTCACCCCGATTGTTTCACTGACCAAAAGAATCTCATGAGCAGGGATGTTATTTTCGAAACATGGAAAAAAAACCATAAGCATATTATTTGTTATGAGGAAAGGGCAAACATCTAAACATTTGCAAATATCTACCAAGTCACCAGTCTGTTTCAACCAACAGGTGAGGTCTTTTTTTGCTTTATCAGAGTAAACTCCTGTCTTAGTCACTATGTTAGCAGCAGCCTGGGTCTAAAGGGCACGTACAGAATGTCTGTTATAAGTTAACTTTTTATTGCATTTGTGTAAACAGTAAAGTTTGATTTACTGGTCGATCCTACACATCCTTTACAGCACATAATTCCAAGAGATCGTTTGGCAATGATGCTTTTTCTGTGGAGTTCGGGAACTTGGCATGAGTGATCCGGTTAGACTTTATGAGTTAGATCAGCCAACGTGTAAAGGTTTGTGTGCTGTTAAGTGAATGATTTAATGCCACAGCTATCAGTGGCCAAAGTGTAGCAAATCATTAGAGGTGTAATGGTTTAAAGTCCAAAGGCTGCTCTCTGGTTGTGTCCTCCCATGTGCATTTGTGTTTCAAGATTTTCAGGCCACTTGTGTACATTGAATGTGAGTTGGCATCAATTTGGCCCCTTAACAAATAGATGAATAATTTGTATTATGCTAAACAACCACATGTAGATATATGCCACAAGTATGCTAATGTGGTAAGCTGTGAATTTTAAACATGTTCATTTTAAAATTCATATTTAAATCCTTGCCTTTATTAAAGTAGCTTCGCATGACTTACACTTCTAAACGATCCGTCTTAAACCGAGACTCAGTCTGAAACAAACTGCTACTCTGTCTTTATGCCAACTTTCCTCTGATTGGTTGCCCTTCAAAAATGGAGAGCTTGAACACCATGTGGGTGGGGTGCCGTGTTCAGACAGAGAAATGCGTCCAAGATGACCATTTTAAAGAGATTATCCCCATTTTTTGACATCATACAGATCCATCCATCTTCTTCCACTTATTCAATTCAGGTTCGTGGGAGGCTGTTGCCTAGCTCAGGTGTAGTAGGGTGAGAGTGAGAGGTTGTACACCTTGGAGAAGTCGCCAGTGTGTTGCAGGGCAACTTGAGACAGACAACCTTCAAACTCACCATCACACAAGTGGTCATTTTAGAAACACTTCATGTAGATCCAAGAGTAGAAAAAACTCTGAAAGAGTTCTGTGCCCCTCACCCCAACTGGTCATACAGATGGCCGTCCCTCCCAAAGCCTGGTTCTTCCCTAGGTTTCTACAATATAAAGCACCTTGAGGCAACTGTTGTTGTGATTTGGCGCTATATAAATAAAACTGCATTGCTCAGAGACGGAGTACTGCTGCCCCCTAGCGCTGAAACGGCGCCAACGTTTCACTGCCGAGGCACAGTAAAGACGCCGATTAAGAACAGTCTGAAACGCTGATTGAATTCTAACAACCACGGCAACACAATGAAACAGAAGGTGAGTCTGTAATAATTTAAACAATTTGAATTTATTCAGTGTTTCCTTCCTTAATCCATTTTTCTTTTGCAAACATTCTGTCAGCAGACGAAGTTTACACGTTAATCTTCTGTTTCTTTTCATGAGAAGCGCTGCTCATTAACTTACAATCAAGCAAGGTTGGGGGAAAAAAATCCAAAGTATTGTGTGCGAGAAAACAAGTTTTCACTATCTGCCAGTCGGTGCCGTTATCAGTCAAGCCACACGCCCCCGTGAAAACAGGGAATTAAACACCCAAATGCACACACACATACACTCACGCACACACACAGACAAACATCAGACTATTTGAAATCCAAAACAGCGATGCACAAACAGAAGTGTGGAAACTAGTGATTAGCTGTGCAGCAGAGGTATAATTGGAGCCTCTAATTACAGTATTGCCTCATTGTTCCTCTCTACCTCTAATTTACCACATTTACATCCCAGAAAAACAATCACTTTGGTTGGGATCATAATGGCTGAATGACTAGCATTAGCTGTGGTTAAACACAGATTTAGTTATAGATGCAATAAAAGCTCTTTTGTATTCACATAATGTTCATATCTCTGAAACAAAAGAGAACCATTAAGGACACGAAATGACAGAATAAAAGCTTCTACATGAAAGACGACACTGTGTGAAGCTATGTATACATTAGCATTATAAATGTATGCAGTATAGCCTGGCTACAAGTGCAAGCATCAAAGATATAATTACATATCAGGTGCTGGATAGTCCAGACACTACTTAAGCAGTAACTCTTGCAAAACTGCATGTAACAAAAATGTAAGAAACATAATTACATTGCATATTTGTTGCTATAGAAACATTTTCTTGTAGAAGAAAATTAAATACAAACCAAAGTCGCTGAGATGTCTAACTTTTCGCTCTAGCTTTGTAAATACTTCACAAATTAACCAAATACATTCCCGATTACCAACTTCAGATCAGCCATTATTTAAATTGGAAACTCGCGGCTGGATGGTCACCCGTCTGACCGGAGTCTGATCTGCGTTGCGATTGGCTACCAGCTCTTGAAGCTGTAGGGCCCCTCCACCAATGAAACAGAAAGCGGGGCACACGGGGCCGGTGCAATCCACGTGGCCTTCCCAAAGAGGCCGCAAGGAATGGGCATCGTAGAACGTGACGCGCCCTTTCTCAAAGTCAAGGCACACACCGAGCCGGGGCGGCAGCGGGTAAGTGAGGCCAGCGGGCGATGAATGGCCGTTGCTGTTGGTGTCCCGCTGTTGATGGTGGTAGCTGTGCTGCGGCAGGTAGATTTTACCCATCCCCATAGTCAGAAAGCAGAAGGGCGGCGCAGAATCCAGGGCATCCTCTGCGCCGCTGTCATGGCCGCTGTCTGGGTCGTAGCTGCAGAGAGACAGAGCGAGCTCTTAAGTTCTTTTCTGACCACCGTCTTTCTTTCTTTAAACTAGTTTTTGTGGCGTCGCAGTCACAGCATGTGTGACAAATGTTGGCAGGGAGTCAAGTATTTAGAGCCTCCTACTTTTTGCACACCTAAGATTTTGTTTATACTAAATTAAACCTAATCTGTAATCCTATTTGAAGAGTGGATCCTAAACACACATAAATAAGCATTAATATTGTAGTAAATCGTAATTTGCATGATCATCACTGCTGGAGTTAAAATCTATTAGGCTGGATCTGGAGCTGTCATATTTTCTTTGCTCACCGGGGACTGGCCATGTCTTGTGGAAGGTGAAACCACTCCTGCAGTTTGGACTCCAGGCCCACTCCCACCTGTTCCAAAAAGGAAAGAGAAACAACCATTGTGTAATTGATAAAGAACTTATTTTTATAGCAAACTTCATTTAAGTTATCCAATTTTGTCCTTATTTTAATTAATTGGATGCATTTTAAAGAATGGATTAGCCTTTTTCTTAAAACAATAGGAGTAACCATTGAAGCTCTTTTCTGAACTGAGCAGCTACCCTTGATTTAAAAACCTGGAAACTATTCTAATGCTCATCAGACAATATCTTTATTAATATATACGAGGTATCAAAACCCATCATTAAGAATACATGGGAAGCTGTTGTATGTCGCCCTTATTGGGGTAAATAAGGGTGACATATTTGATATGTCACCCTTTTTGATATTGGCTGGGGCCTTTCTGGTACTCAGACGTCGTCCCAAGTAAGTTAAGTTAATTGGCTATTCTAATTTGTCCATAGGTGTGAAGGGTTGTCTGCCTCTCAATCTATGGCAGCTGGAATCTGCATTGAGAAAATAAATGATGTAGTTAAAACTCTGGAGTTTATATTACCTTTAAATAGAGCCATGGAGAAAAAGAGAATTACAGTTATTAGGTATATTAGTTTCAGTATAGTTTGGGTTATTTCACAAGTTGGAACCATTTCCTCATTTAGATTCGACAGCATTTCTAATAGATAACAGCAGATGGCGTAAGCATGAATTGAGGCTGCACTTTGGGGAAAGCCTCAGAGGGGATTGGCTGCGGCTCCTAGACAAGGCAGATCCCCATCTACTAATGAGAGGTAAATAAATTGGAAAAGGGAGCAAGGGTGAGGCACGGAAATGAGAACAAACTGCTTGTAGTCCGCGTGGTGGGTTTATGTGTTCTCTGGGTTCGTGTCACTATTATAAGTGGATTAGGGCTCATTTTAAAAAGGAAAGCGGCAGACAGTGTGTTTAAATTCACACACATTTACACACACTGTCATTTCATTCAATCATTTCATTTTGGTTGAATGAAATGACAGAAGGCTGATCTTACATTGTACTAAATATGATGGAATCACACTTTAACTTCATTAACATATCATTCCCATTGAACCTTCCTCACACCAACTCTGAGGACATTTTAAATTTAGATTTTATGATTTTTTTAATACCCTTAAAGCCGTACATCTCGGACCTCTGTTGTACTTTGAGATTGTTTGGACAAAGAGGCCATTTGTCTGTTCTAGTGCTCTTCTTCAAACTAAAATAGAAACTGTTAAAAGGTAGTTTGCAGTCATGACACAAAAACATAAACATAAAAACACAAAAGTTTTATTTTCCTTGAGTTTCACCGACCACATTTGTTTTTATTAGTCTTTCTTAATCTGATGACCTGTGGCCTTAAGCAGTGCTCAAATTTGGTACTTTTTTTAAAGAAGATTAAAGCATTTTTAATCTGGAATATTTAGTTTTTTTAAAAAAAAAGTCTATACTATACTCTACACACAGTAATGGGAATATTGACCTGGCAGTACGTTTTCATGAAATGCTCAGTTCAATTCAGTTTTATTTAAATGGTGCCAAATCACAAGGACTTAAGGCACTTTATATTATAAGTATAGATCCTGCAATAATATGGAGAAAACAGAAAACCCCAACAATCAGATTAAACCCTATGAGCAAGCACTTTGTCAACAGTGGGGGGGCGGTGGGGGGCTGAGGGGAGGAAGACAGAACAGAGACACTTTGCGGAAAAAAAGGCAAAGATTAATAATAACCAATGATTGTTGAAATGTGTGCACATGAATTCACTTGCCTTCACAAGGTAAGACCCAGGCTCCACTGAGCATGCCCAGTAGTGCCGTCCTTGTGTAATGGCTACATCCCCTACAAGTAGGTCAGAAGTCAGGTGACAGGAAGTTAGGGCGTGGTCGGCAGCCTGCAGCAGAGAGAGACCAGGAACGCTGCGGGCACAACGCTGCTCTTTGCTGACCACCAGGCGGTCGGCGTGGAGACCCCAGCGAGAGTCCAGGTAGAAGTTAAGCACTGAGAGGAGAGAGTGTGACAGAGGACACAGCAGAGGGAGGGGAGAGAAGAAGAGAATGGAGGCAAGAAAGAGGGAAAATTGAGAAAACAAAGGGACAGGTGCATACAGAGATGACACATGGGGGCTTTAGAAGTGACAGGAGGTGACAGACAGATTTACAATCAGAAAACGGCAAAGAGAAAAACAGTGAGGAGAATAAGAAGCAGCTGAGAGGAGAGCCAAGAGGGAGAGGACCACAGAGTAGGCATGCACCTCCTTCCACCAGCACTGGAAGAGAAAAGGACACTGGTCCACACAATGCACTGATGACTCAGGAAGTAAAATACAGAAGCTTTGGCAGCGTTAAGTGCAGTATTTCCACAGGAAGTACAGTGGGAAGATATGCAATAGCAGGAAGGAAACAACAGCCAACAAGGACACGAGGAATTCAACAATCACTCAAATCAATGGTTAAAAAGCCCTAGATCTGAATCAGATCCATGTTGTTAAGCCTCAGGTCTTAACAAACCGCAAACCTCATCAGCACTCAGACAGATCTCGTTACAGGAGCTAAAGTGGGAGGCGGAGGGATGAGTGGGTGTCTAAGCAGGGGTGGAAGAACAGAGGATGTGTGGGATGACCGTAAAGAGAAACAGGGAAAAGACCAAATAATTTAGTGGTATGGGGTACAGAGATTTGGTGAGAGGATACGTATGAGTGCACTTCTTACGTTCTGTAGGAGGCACGTAGTTTGGCAGCGTGGAAGTAGCACAGTTGAGGATGACAAGTAGAAAGCTGTGAAATGGAAATAATACATGAGAGAAAGATGAGGAAATAAAGAGTAAGAAAGTGAAGATGATTCAAAAGTGAAGAGAGAGAGAGAGAAGTGGAAATAAGTGAGAAAGGAAAAATTGGAATGACAGAAAAGAAAAGAGAATGGATTTTTAAGCATTTCACCACAGCAAGCATTCCAATGCTTTCATTTTAAATGAAAAAACAAAAAATGGGTGCGATGTGGTGAACGTGTCAAGTGTGTATGATGCATTTTACACTCAACGGAGGGATAAACCATCCGAATTCATATCTCCTTTCATAGTAATTATAACATATTTGATACTGTCTAAAGACCTTGGGGTCTTGAGGTACAGCAAATGTATTTGGAAGAGTAACAGAGATGCCTGCTGTATTTAGCTACGCAAGTTTAAAAAAAAAAAAAAACACCTTAGGCACAAAATGCCTGCAACAAAAGACGTTGTGAGCCAAGAACTGTTTACTGGGTGTTTACTCTGGGTATGTTTTCTTACAGTTTTACCTCCAGCATGCACAGTTACTGTGAGCTAAGTTAATGTTGGTGCCAGTTTCTGTGTTTCTGTTACAAGCAACGTGCCTGCATGGCGAGAGAAACAGACAAAATAAATCAGAAAATAAAGTCCAAGTAATAAAGCTTTCACCAAGAAAAGTGGGGTGCGTGTTTACACCGTTTTTCTTGTTTATTTATTTTCTGCAGTTGCTTTTGTTTCAGGTATTAATATTTTCATACTTTTGAGGATTATGGTTTGTACAGTGCACATTGTTAACCCTGCAAGATGTGAATGATACTAAAACACATGCAGTTCATTAAGGTGTGCTAAGAGTCTCCTGACGATTCTTCCATGTTGGGAGCTGGGACTAAAATCAGGTTGGACTGCTCCTTTAAACCAGCTCTGCATAAGAGTCTAACCTAAAGGTGTTCAAGGGAATCTGATCGCAGGTCAGGTAAATTAAACTACTCGTGGAATGTACATAACAAGCAAATTTTTATCACATTATGGCTTTTCAAGTGACTTAAAATGTGACTCTTGTCTAACAAATTTACAGTTTCCGTACAGTGCTGTGATTGTACTGTTGAAGTATTTTCCACCTTCCTGATTTCTTAGTTTCATGCATATTTATCCCAAATTTAATGTTTCAGATCATCAATTGAATTCTAATATTAGAAAAATATTACCAGAGTAAATACAAAATGCTGTTTTTAAATAGTGATTTCATTAATTAAAGTGGAAAAAATTACCTGGACCTGTATGGAAAAAGTAATTATCTCCCTTGTTAAATCCTTAATTAACTGTGATTAACAACATTTTTTTTGGACAGATGAATTTAATTTAACATGTCACACCCAGGCCCGACTACTGCTAGACCTGTTGAATCAAGAATCACTTTAAAAGAAGCTGTCTGATAGTGAAGTAAGCTAAAAGATCTGAAAAAGCAACACATTATGCCACAATCTAAAGAAAAAGATGAAACAAAATGAGTGACATCTCTCAGTCTTGAAAGGGTTACCAAGGCCATTTCTAAGACTTTGGGCCATCAACAAACCACAAAGTCCTCCTCCACTCTTTAACCAGGGGTGGCCAGGCAAAAAAAAAAAAAGCCAAAAAACATACTGATAATCCCAAAGACTTTTGAGAAAATATTCAGTGGACTGATGACTGAGATTAAAGTTGAACCTTTTAGAAGGTTTTGAAGGTTTGCTGCTCATAACATCCAAGATAAAACTAACATAAAAGCACTCTGTGCAACAGTCAAATATGGTTGTGGTAGTGTGACACGCAAAACCCTCCAGTTTGGCAGAATTAAAACAAAAGTCCTCCAGAGCCGGACTGACTGGGAGAATCACTCACTGGCAGGTATTGCAAAAGCTGGATTGCAGTTCTTGCTGCCATCACAACCAATGACTAGGTTTAGGGGGCAATTATTTGTTCACACATGGCCGTGTAGGCTTGGATAGCTTCTCCCCCCCCTTGCTAAGAATTGAAATCATCATTTAAGAACTTTAAATCATCATACAAAAACGTGCTTTTTGTTTTTGCATTATCTTCGTCTAATACTAAAATTAGTTTGATGATCTGAAACATGTAAGTGTGACATATGAAGAAAACTAAGACAGATGGGGCGAATACTTTTACACAACAGTGTTTATTATCAGTTAGCTTGGTGAAAGAGAGATACAATCATAAGGTGATAATTCTGACAAAGTCACAGTGCTTACAGAGGCCGCCTGTGCAGAAAATTCAAAAAACTTTATGCAGGAAACCATCTGAACCTTTTTGAAGCAATGCCTGAAAGTCACTGCACTTTAAACTGGGATGCAATTGCTTGGTGTCATAGTCATGATTATTAATTGGGGTAAATGTTGAGTCGGCAGATAAGATCTCATAAATAAAACATTGACTCCCAAAAATATATATGGTATAAAACTGGTTGTAGTCCAGTTTCAAGGTGTGGTTGCTTTCCCAGGACAATCTGTGACATGCATGTAAACAACCTCACGTCAAACTAGTTCGACATGTTTCTGGTTTGTTTTTTTTCCCCCAAACAGCCATGTTGTTTGGGTGTGTTTACACTGTGACAAAGTGTTCCTGTTCAGTTGTTAATAAGGACAACTAAGAAGCTCGGTGTGTACCCTCACCTGGTGCAGGCGGGGTGTGCAGGTACACCTCCTCACTGTACTCTCCGTAGCCCGCCTTGTTGCAGCCTCTCACCCGCAGCACGTACACGCTGTCCATTTCCAACCTGTCAATCACAGCGCTGCTTCCACTCACTTCGTCCATTCGCTGCCAGCCCCAGCGTGCAGCAGCCAGTCCTCCTCTGATCCCACCTCTGGACGCTCCTCCTGGTACTACACCACGACGGCGATACTCTACAGAAAAGTGCCAGGATGGTGAAGACTCCAGGGGCAGTCGCCAGCACAAGAACAGCTGGTCGTAGGCCAGACTACGCTGGGTATCGATCACTGGAGCCAAGGGCACTATGGCAATAACATAATGTATTAAACAATATGTATTAATAATAATTCTATAACCCACTCGCATGTAGTTGGTATGAAATTATTTAGACAGTGAATGTTTAATTAGAAAGTTAATAGAAAACTTGCTCTTACGCTATTTCATTCGTATCTTTTTTTTAACCTTCAACTAGAACCCTTCTCACCCTGGATGAAGTTCAACTCTGTCAGGAGTTTAAGTTCTTTGGAGACGTCCAGCTGGAAGTGTCTGAATGATGGATCGGCCGCTAGTGTGAAATGTTGCAGATTCTCAATTGCTTTACTCAGCCTAGTGCAGTGAAAACAGGGAGAGCGGCATCAGAGGAATCAAAGGCTTTTAGTAGGGACAGTGAGGAAGACTCAGTTTTAAAGGATGTATGAAAAAGAAAATAAATTAATAAATAAAAGATAAGACTGCTTTTAATCTATATTTCTATTATAATAAAAAACATAAGCAGCACATTAGTGACATCCCTTCAGTTTTTATTTCCAGATACTGTGCTGTATGTGGGGCTTTCTTTATTTCCTTTCACATATTTACATTTGAACCTAGCCAGGGTGTTCCCTGCCTCCTCTCTGATGGATATTTACTTTTACAATAACAGATGCAACAATAAACTGAACTTTCAGATAATGAGTTAAGGGTATGCACAAATAGTCCCAGTAAATGTAATAAAATAGGCAGCCAGTCATAAGAATGTAGGCCCAAAGGTGCAAGGGAGGTAAAACAGCTTGTTACAGAAAAAAAATAACAAAGGGGCTTATTATTATATAAATAAGACTCATGCAAAGCAACTCCAAGAATAAAAATATGGTACTGGAAATGTTGACAATACACACATTTTGTGCTATTCTTTGGATTTACTGACAACACTGCTTATGCTGTTTCTTTATTTGGGAAGATGATCAGCTGAAAACCAAGTCAATTATAAAACATGAATCCTATATTGGAACCAATGAAGTTATGATTCCTATACATTCTAAGCCTGCTTCTTCTACCCTGAAGCCAAACAAAGCAGAGAAGAATGCAGGAAGAGAAGCCTCTGAAGATCTCCCCTCAAAAAAAGAAAGAAGGCGCTAATCTGTCATGTATGCATGTAATCTGTCATATGTCAGTGCGCCCCAGGGCAGCTGTGGCTACAATGTAGCTTGCCATCGCCAGTGTGTGAATGTGTGTGTGAATGGGTGAATGACTGAATGTAGTGTGAAGCGCTTTGGGGTCCTTAGGGACTAGAAAAGCGCTATACAAATGCAGGCCATTTACCATTTAATCTAAGATCTATTCTATCAAATCAGAGAGCGATTACTTAACGTTAACAAAAAGGAAACCTGTTATGAGTCTGGCGAGAAGCCTGCACAAAACAGGGCTGATCTGTTTCTTTCAACAGTTCCTGCGTGAACGCCATGAGCCCAGCGTGCTCCAACAAGCCACGTCTCTCCGCCACTTGAGCAGCCAGTGCCTCGCCTCGTTTCTGCCGTGCCCCCTCCAGAGCCTGGGTGAGCGAAGCGTGACGCTCGGCGAGAGCGGCCGTCAAATCCCTGATGCTCTGAGCCAGCTGCTCTCTGGCCGACACGCTGTTTACCTGGTGAGGAAAAAGCACAAAGACAAGTTTGGAGAACTAACACCAGGCTTCTGCTGGTACATTCTTAAAAAGGGTCCAAATAACATAAAACACTTTGAGAAAAAACACATTTTTGGAGTTATATAGGTTTGTAATGATATGATTAGGGATGCCAGCTATAGTAGGTAACAGGTTTACTGTAAAAGAGTCAAACAGGTTGGCTCATGCATGAAACATGCAGCAGTTGCATAGTATCCAATCCTAAACAGCCAAGCTGAACAAATACTTGCAGTAGCTGCTGACTGATTTTAATCCCATGTTCAGGGAGATTTTGTGGGCCAGAAGTATTAATCACCTCAGTCTGTGTGATGGAACTCTCCAGCTGGGTAATCTGAGCCAAAACTGTGTCCTGGTTGGACAGAATGTAGTTCATCTCCTTTGTAATCTTCTCCTGTCAAATTAACACCAAATAAGCGACACAGAAACAACAAATGCACACGGATTATCAGTTTCACACAGCCACACATCTGCATTATCTTGCACACTATGCTTGTCTAACAGTTAAAGCTGCATTACTGTAGCTTTTTAAACAACACTGCATCATTTTTATCTTTACCTTCATTGCATTTGGTGGTTGTATTTCAAATGTTAGTGAAGTGCAAAACTATTTTAGAGATCTGGACTAAGTCTAAGTGGCGCAACAATTCCTCCATGATAGCTCAGAATCTCATCTCTGCAGTCTTGCATGAAAGACTTGGAGCAGAGTCGCTACTTCTCCAAATAAAAAGGAGCTAGTTGAGGTTGTTTATCTGACCTTGTCAGATGGCACCTGGGTGAGGTGTTCCAGACAAGTGAAAGAAGATGGAAGGATAGATAGGGACAGGAATCAAGAACCGGTTCTCTAGTCCAATTCCTTGGAATTGTTAGTCTGCCTGCCGATCGATCCTGTTTATCGGTTGCATTTGCACTTGTGCTACAATCAGCTGATTTCAGTTTGTTTGTCAGAGGAAGCAGTGAAGCAGTCTTTGACTACTATAATATATTATTTTAAACTGTGAAATGTGTGAAATGGAGGGTTTCACACTATTCACATATATGCTGGCTTCACTACTACATTCTTTGTGTGTATTCCTGCCTCTAGTAAACCTTTCACTGTGCGGGACAGAGATAGATGTCAGATTGTGAGTCAAACCTTCAGCGCTTGGTACGCCTGGGCCACTGGGAGGATTTTATGTCCGGTGTGAATGCGGCGCAGTTTGCAGAGGGGGCAGAGCAGCCGCTGACATGACCGACAATAGAACTGCAGCTTCTCCTGGTCGTGTTCTGGACAAGTCAGCACCTGAGCGAGACAGGCAAAACAGATGAGAACAATTTAATCTGAGGCACATTTTACTGAGTAGAAGAAAACAGGAATGTAGCACACAAGTGTGACTATGCCTGGGTAATTTATTGATTTGCCTTTTGCTAAGCAGCAAAGAGCCAGTGGAGGGCTCTAAAAAACCAAAGTAAAGTAAATGTAAAGGGGTCTCTGTATTTTCTTCTTTGTGTTGTGGGTCAGAAATCCATATTTTGCACATGGAAAGAAACCATAACTGTTCCATCCATGCAGTCTTACAGTAATGCGCAATTACTGTCCTTTATGCAACTTGAACTGTGCCTCGCATGGCAATCACACTTTCTATATAATGCAGTGCAATATAACTACACTCGGTTTACCACTTATTTAACAACATATACAATTAATACTTATGAACCCTCAGCAAAGCATGTCTTGTTGAAAAGTGTAACAAAAGACTTCATGTCTGCTATCACTTATGCTTTATTTTAGCACAAGCAGATGTGGATGAACAGTATGCGTGTGTCAGTGTTTCAGTACCTTTGGTCTGAAGTTGAGTGTAGGCTGGATGTGCTCATGCTGCGCCCGTGGCGTTCCCCATGGGTGATAGAGTTTGAAACACTCATTGCAGAAATTAGACCTGCAGTCAGCACAGCCCTTGGTGGCTTCCAGAGTTTGAGGCGGCTTACAGAATTGGCACATCACAGCCACACTGCCCAGACTCACCGTGTGTCTGTACCTGAGAAAGGTAAGCGAGAAAGAGAAGACAGACTGATTTAGCCTCACGTTATTGAGCTTGTTCCACCTTTTTTTTTTTTTTTTTTTTTTTTTTTAATGAAGTGGGACCTGGCAACCAAGCAAATAAAGGATTAATGAGTTGAATATTTGGACATGAAATAAATTCTCATTAAAGGAACACAAATGTTTATACCAAAGAGTGATTTGAGCCCATGGGTGTGCTTGAGACAAATGGTAATGAGCAGGTGATGAATGGAAAGCTGTGGAAACATGCGGTCAGCCAGGGTAGCTACAGCATGTTGCAGTGCACGCTCAGTGCTGGTTCAGCTGCTGAATACTGACAATAAGTTTTGGACCTGTTCCCATACCTTCTGCTTTTCAGGTCTAACTCCTCTCCTTATTTACGTTTGTCCATAAACATCATGAGCACTGAAGGACATCAGCAATCTGTAGGGTTATCTAACAGTTTTTGTCATGAATCTGTACTCAAATAGCATCTTTCTGCTCAAGTTAAACACAGAAAGCACTCTTTACTACAAGTCTCATTCGCTCAGTCACATACACGATCATTTTTCTAATATTCATTCATCTGAAGGAGCTGGGGATCGATCCATTGACCTTGAGATGGCCTGCTCGACCACCTGAGCCACAGCTCCCAATCTTCTGTTTGCAGATTGAGTCTATACTTACCTCTCCACTATACGCTCCAAGGTGAGGTTGCGCAGACAGTCAGTAAGGCCTTTCTCTCCCAGCTCAACATCTCTGCCGCAGGGGATACAGGGGAACATCATCACCAAGGGTGGACCTTCCTTACGGCGTCTACCTGGGTACGTCCCATAACCGGGAGACCGTGGCATGGATGGTGAAGGGGGGTGTGGACCTTAAACAAAAAAGTAAAACCAGTTATAAACAAAGAAAATTAAGGAAAATCATGGTTGCCATTTCTTTTAGTTTAGGTTATAAATGGAGAGAGGTACTACAAACCTGAACGCAGCACGCGGTCGATGGGCCGTTGTTCATTTTTAGGTGTGGGCCTGCGTGCCTGACGAGGTGAACGGGTGTTGGGTGTGGAGGCTGGTGAGTTGGGTTCTGGTGGAAGCTCTGGAGGCGGGTATCCATTTGCTACCAAGACCTCGGAGGCACACAAGAGACAGACGCTGTGCAGGCATGGCAGGACCACAGGCTGTTTAACTATTTCCTTACACACGGGGCAATGCAACTCATGCTCCAGGCTCTTCATGTTAGACTGTTGGAAGCAAACAAGCAAAGGATGACTATCTGCACATGGTGCTGTAGAGAAAAACAGGCTGAGTATCCAGACATCCTGAAGATGATTGTGTTTAGGAACGCAGCACACAGACACCTGACTGTGCACAAAAAAAACTTTAACTTGAATAAATGGAACTAAAATTTGCCGGCAGCATAAAAAGCTCTCAAACATGAATGCCAATGGAATTGATTAAAATCTAAAACTATCCAATTATAGCATAAAGATGCAAAATTAAGACTATGACTCAGCCAAATGTCGTTTTATACTTAAGAGCTTTGATTCTTACTTCTATACATTTTTACCCAGTACCAGAACAGCATTCAAGTTTTAGACCAGTCCGACTTGCAGATGTACAACTGAGGGGAAACAGCTTCACAGCAGATACCCTGAGAAATACTTGGCAATGTGAAAAAGATGTGCCACACAGGCGACACAGGGTGCCAATCTTGTTAAATATGGATTAAGATGAGGCATTAATTATTCAACCACCCATCTCTTAAATCACAGCCATGCATGTGACCATGAGCCAGTAGCCACATTTCTTTATGACTCAGAAATTCTATAACACACTTGTTTCTAAGAAATTTCGTAAAAATGTGTAGTAATGTGTAATATATTAGCACGCAAAATCAGGTTTGATAATGCATTTGTCTTTTTCTATACATTACTGCCAATGCAGCACCTTCGCTTTGTGAAACTACAGCAAACAGACCTGGATGGCGAATCAAAACTCGCACCTCTGGAGCACTTAACGCGTGCTCTGCTCAAGGACATGGATCTGACAGAAAAGGACACTGACTATTGCATAAACCTGTGACTTTACCACTGCAGTCACTCTGATCTGATAAAAGATTAATTCCACTCACATTACATCCTGGTCTGTGTGAAAAATACACAGATTTTATGTCCAGTGATGTTAAGAATAATAATATATTTTATTTGTTGTCCTTTTCCCAGTCATGAGGACCCCCCCCCCCCTTTTTTTTTTTTTTTGCTTTGTGGATGCCCTTGACACAGAACCTACTACCAAACTGGTTGCAGGGCATCACAGACATTATGAGTTAACTTCAAAACCAGGACAAAGCAAACAGACTGACAGTGCTGCATAGGGGATTGTGTCACTGTGATGTGATATGATGCCACCATCAGGGCTATTTAGACACAAAGATCATGCATAGGGATGCAGAACAATTGGAATATTATGAAGGGAATATAAAAAGGAAAGGTCTACATTCATACAATATAGCCGGATGAAAAAATCTGTGCAGATACTGGCTGATAGCGCACCATCTACCCAATTTGCAGATAGCACCACCTTAGTCAAATTAGAATTACACGGAGAGAACTGGCGGATAGCGACGACCTGCACTGAAGTATGAAACTGGATTAATGCTAATAACCTCCTTCCTCCCTCAGTCCACCTCAGTCATTTTCTCCAATGTCAACTCTGGCCTATCTTTTTCTCATCCTCTAGCAGCTTAGCCTATCGCATTTTCAAGCACCTCCGATTCCTGCAGGCTGAGCGCACAGCTACAAACTGTGGCTCTCTACCTCCATCTCACATGCACAGTCCGCACTGCTGCTGCTGCTGAGGCCGGCGGGGAAAAACAAGCAGCGCATCCTTACCTTCACCTGGAATCTAGGCGCCATGACAGCATTTCCAGGATCAGAGCAGTGTCTGTGTAGTGCAAAGAGGGGAGGGGTTTGAGCGATTACAACGACCTCCTAGCGCAGGTACGATGGGCTCTGGAGGAAGCGGGCTATGGCGACGGAAAAGATAACGCACGTGACTGCCTTTGACTGCTGAACGTGCTCTGTGTGCACCTCTAAGACCACTCCACCACGCTCTGTTGGAGCCGTGTCTAAAAATTACCTCTAGGTTTTAACCCTGCAATGCTTGATGCTCCCAGATGCATCGATACACGTTTTTTTTATTTGTCTCAGCAGCAGCCCCGAGTCCTGCATCTCGTCTCCATGGAAACGAGCATCCAGAGTGCCGAAAAAAGAAACGTGTCATTTGGGTCTGCACCCATGCTATTATTTTTTTAATGACATTATAATTGCCACATTTGAATTGAGGTTAAGCTCAAGTCCGATATGTAGGCTACCGACTATAGCTCATTAATGTCGGTAAAGCAAAAATCGAAGAAGATCAATATTTAATTGGCTAAAGATGATAAGAAAAATATGTTTTAGTTTTATTTTATTTCAGTGGACTTTAATTGAGGTTCAGAAACAGATAGCACACGGATTGGGCCCATGTGATAGAGACACTCCGCCGATAATTCGCTTTTTCCCTTTAAAACATGATAAAACATGATAGCTACTCTTTATTTAAAAGAAATAAATAAATACAAATTCATACTCCACGTTATATTCAGCGTATATCAACTAACAGCACAATGTCACAGATATACACTTACGGTGGCGCGAACCAAGGCTTCCATCGCTGATGTGGCTGTTTTTAAATCCATCTCTGCCATTTTAAGAGCATAGCTTCCCCCTGTTTTCATCATCTGGAAATAGATTGTGGTGTGTCCAGGCCGATGGCCATGTAACACATATTAAGAACGCGAAATATGCCGAAAATATGTCTCGAATATAGAAGCGTTTTGGATATTAATATTATTTTTTTCTATTAGATGTTTAATTTGGACATTTTTACGCGCGTTAATTACCGACTGATAATAAGCACCTTGTGCTGCTTTTAGGCATAAAAACAAAACGCTTTCTGGGAAAAAAAATCTGAATTTGTTCTTAATTTACGAGTACATCCACGCCGAATAGCTACTACTAAAAGATGCCTGTGGCTTTATTCCTCACGCAGGCATCCCTCCCCCTACGTTTCCCATCCTGCACCGGATGCCCTCAGCTGATGCGGAACACAGGGAAAATCGCTGTAAATCCAGGAACCCATTCCTTAATAACTCAAGAACGTAATGGGGAAAAAACAGTATTTGTCGGTTTAAAACTGATTTCCGGGATTTAAAATGTTGTAAAGGAGTCGTTGGCCTAGACTCTGTCGAACACATCTCTCGTGGATGATGTCAGTTTGAGCCAGAAAAAAACAATCATATCATAAGATAGAAGCTGCAACCAGCTTTTGGCAAAGGGAGTTTTATATATCTTTTATTGATCAGGGCAAAAACTCTCACTGACTTATAAAAATGTATTTTTCAGGAGCGATCAGGCCAAGAGAATAGCAGAAATTGCAACAAATTTAACAGTTCTACAATGATAATATAAATAAAGATATATGCTGACGGCAATGCAGACACAGAGTAGGTAAAACAACACAAAGTCATAAATATACTCGGGAAAGCAGCTACTTTTTGTGTTTTATATACAAACTCTTTCATAACTCCTGTTGACCAGAGGCTATTTACTAACGTAAGCAAAGATATAGTACATAAAAATAAATTTAAAAGGACAAACATCAGAAATCACTTTTTTTTCAAGTTCAGAATGTGACCCCATAATCGACCTCCCTAAACCTGCTGGTCTGGAAGTCCAGCAGTTCATCTAAACAAAAGGCACTTAGACTAAAACAGATATAGATATGTTTATCCAGCCATGAAACAATAAGATCAAGGACCTGATTCTGGACTATTGCGCCAATTTCAGGCTTAGGGTCACTTCTGGGGCAGTTACTTCATGCTGGCACCGCCTCGGGAAAGGTATAATAACAGGCTGTACCATCTCAGTTACGCTCTTTGCCCTTGCAATGAACATGGTGGTAAAGGCTGCTGAGGTGGAGTGCAGAGGGCCGCTAACAAGGTCAGGTGTTCGTCAGCCCCCTATCAGAGCCTATATGGATGACCTCACCATTACAACATCATCAGTCCCAGGGTGTAGGCGGATCTTGCAAGGACTTGAGAAACTCATCTTATGGGCAAGGATGAGTTTTAAACCTTCCAAGTCAAGATATATGGTACTGAAGAAGGGCAAGCTCTCAGGAACCATTATTCCATCCATAACGGAACAACCAGTCAAGAGCTTGGGGAAACTCTTCGACTCCAGCCTGAAAGACTCTAATGCCATTCAGAAGGCAAATGAGGAGCTGGGAGCGTGGCTCATTAAGGTGGATAAGTCCGGCCTGCCTTGAAGATTTAAAGCCTGGATCTACCAGCATTCCATCCTGCCCCGAATCCTGTGGCCCCTGCTTGTCTATACAGTTCCAATAACTATTGTGGAATAAATGACAATCCAACAATACAAATCTAACAAATGCAATAAGCAAAAACTGGATTGTTCTTCAAAAAGACTGCCATAGCTATTCACATGTCTCAGTGTTTCCTCCACAGGTGGAAAGTTTCCTGACAGGTGTGTTCAATAATGACCTAACCAGCTCTCTGTTGGGTGTGTAGACTACTTCCTCATATTAAAATTCCTGTTTGAACAATGAACATGAGATATGCATGCCTCAGCTGTGTTTGACTCGGTCAATGTGTTTCATTACAAAACTGCCGCTTTACTTCAAGCTGTCGCTAGCAATCAGAAAGTGTTTCTTTTTGTCTTTCGTCAGATCTTTTATTGAACTGTGCAAGTATGCTCATCAACACTAGGCCAGGGGAAAAATTATAACTGCAACAAAGAAAGACCATTATTACCCACACCTGGTCAAAATGGCAAAAAGGAAAATCAACCATACTAAAATAAGTAGGCACACTATAAGTAAACCAGTTCTGAAACTGAAGCTACCAGTCCTGCAACAGAAATCAAGTATAAGAAAGCTATACCTATTTTAGTGATTGCAGTATAAGGTGGCCTCTTGAATTTGCCTGTATGCGAGGGCCTCCAGGATGGAAGCGGTTACATATTTTTAAAAAAATGCAAACAAAGTTGCTAATCAGGAAACAGACAATGGGAGTGTCACGAACACCCTTTTGAACCTCGTGGAGGTGGTTTTCTCTTCGCTCTATTGACTCTGCTGAATCCAGGTAGGAGCAGATTCTTCTGTGACTTTTTGATTGTTTAGATAGAAACTAGACAAATTTTGTTTCTTGTGGTTGAAGATTCATCTGTAATTATGTTAAACTGGCTGGTTTTTGGTTCTACTCTGACTGCATGTATTTTGTTTTAAGGTATTTGCTTCAGTGAAGCTGCTCTTCCGTTTGACATGTATGTAAAACTTTTAGTTAAGAATCACATTTTTAAAAAGTAAAGAATTATTGTAAGTACAGTCTATCTACATTTCTGTCCCTCTGCCGATGCATGCCAAATAATATTTTATGATCCATTTTATTTCTTGTCCAGATTCTTGTACAGCACTGCAAACATGTCAGACCCAACAAGACTGGAAATGGCATTGGCTGCAATGTTCAGTGCCTACATGTCCTACCAAGGAGATGACAATAAACTGACCAAAGAACAATTTCTAAAATTAGTGAAGAATGAACTACCCTTACTTTCTCAGGTAAGGGAAAACATTGTACTAATTAACTGCAAATGATCACAATAACTTTGGTGACATCCAGACACTTTTAAAGTGCAATGTAAATGTTTAAGGCGTAGTTTAGCATTAAAATCTAGCCCTACAAATCTATTGAGTTTGCAAATGTATCATAACAGCCTGACTAAAAGCATGAACCAAGAGATAATTTTTTTTTAAAATAACTAATTAAAAAACAAAATTATTATTAAACTTTGCACTTTTTTTGTTGTGAAAAAAAGTGCAAAGTTATTTTTGCACAACAAAAAAACTTTGCACTTGTTTCACTTTCCAAGTTATTAAATGTTTGTTTCACCTTTGCAGGGAAAAAGTGAAGATGAGCTCTTCCAGTGTGTCGACCACAATGATGATAAACGTGTGGACTTTGAAGAGTTCGCCTCACTGGTTGCTGGTTGCGCCTGTGCAAGCCATGACGCCCTCCAAAAGGTCATGAAAGAACTGGACACAAAAGGCTGCCCAAAGTAAAGCACTGCTGATGTGGAAAGAAACCCAATATAGGCCTTCCCTGGATTCACATTAAAACAATAAAGTTAGTCAAAGTCAAAGATTGTGCTTGTTTTTTCTTTAACCCTTGTGTGGTGTTCATATTTTTGTTACTCAGCCAGTGTTCATGGGTCTGGTGGACCCGCTAGAGTTTTGGCTTTCCAAATTAACACTATCAAACAATTTTATGTTAAATTACTCAACAGATGTTTACTTCATCCCAATTACAAGCCATATGAACAGCAAACATGGTTAATTGTTTCCCTTTACCTTTGTTAGATCACATTTATGAATTAATGTGCTTCTCGTGTTTTTTTTTGTTTTTTTGTTTTTTTATAAAATGTTATAAAAAAATAAATCAGTTATAATCAAGTCGAGCTGGTCTGTCGTCTCGGTTATCAAAACGGATAATCCTGGAAATTTTGTGGAAGTTTTCCAGAGACATTGATGCACGGAAAGGTTCTTGCCGGTTTCTGCATCCCACAGGGATTCTGTGGATTCCCCTTTGGACCTGAAAACTCCTGCAAGGATAAGAACCCCAAAGTAGGCCTTTGGGGTTCTTAGATGAATTTGGTCCATCTCCTTCCACCTCTCTCCAAAAACACACCTTCCTTCTAGATTACTGCAATCCAGAATAATTTTCTGGATGGAATCTGGGATGAAAAGCTCAAATGAAGACTTGATGTCCTGCACATGAGTAACTGTCAGCCGTGTTGGCCCTGGCTTATCACAGTAACAGCTCTGCAGGGTGGCTCATTTCTTGGGCAAGAAGACCATTCAATTTCACCAGTTATTGACATCCATATTTCTTCACTTGCTGTCTGGTGGGCTTGTTCTGGTCCTGGAGCTGGCTGCAGATGGGGTACTCGTCTTTGTTTTGTTACTAAATGGTGCTCAACCTCATCCTCTTCTTCAAAGTCACTGTCAGACTCTGAATTTTCAGAAATGTGAAATATTCTGAAACCTCTTTGTCAACATCATCATCCGAAGCCCCTCTCTCTTCCAAAATCAATTGGATGGCCCTCGCAGCAGATAATCTTTTGCCATCTTGATCAGTTGTGATAAAGAACCACACTGGCAAAGTCTTATTTATAGTATTATGCCCCTAATTTGCAGGTGGGACAGGGTATGAGAAAATAAAATTTGGATCCCTCAAGAAAGAGGGTAAAATGTGTGGGAATGTCAGAGCAGACGGTGTTGATAGTTGAATTTTCAACAATGTTGCAACTTTGTGCGGGAGCAGGAGGGGAAGAAAACACTATCAGCAGCACCAGAAAGGAGGAAGACAGAGTGTGGGAACACAGGACCTACACTTTCAACACTTTTATTAGACCTGGGTCCAGTGGACCCGAACACCTTGTATGTAATGTAAATGCGTGGGGGGAGGTACAGTATGAGGTCATTGAAAATTAGTTCGGATTTATGTTCTTCACAGAAAATAAGCCAAAGCCAATGAATTTCAGGTTGAAAAAATAATTAATTGTTTAATTTTTCTTTTGAGAAAAACTGAAAACGGGTCTCACAGACCCGAACACCATACAAGGGTTAACTTAGGATGCATAGAAATGTTTGCTAGTTGTCTATTCACACCTCTAACTAGTTGTTTCATGTTAGGATATACCCTTATTGTCTGCTTTTCTCACTTTACCTTTATCATAGGGTTTGAAATAAACCCTACACTCAAAAAAATGAAATTGGGTGGTTGTTACGTTTACAAAATTCAAACTTGTAATGTGAACAAAATAATTTCATGTTTCTGTGGTGAACGTAATTAAATCATGTAGGATCTGCATGAAATCCAGCAACTTAATTTATTCTTGTTGAGATGACATGATACAATCTAGTAAGAGTGGTTAGTTGCCTGGATTCACAAAATTCACAAGATCAGACAAGAGTTCAAACCACAGGAAAATCACTGGGGTTAGAAGAGACAGACAACCATACACACACTATTAGCTATTTATTGTGGTTTAACCTGTAAAGGACAAAAACGTACAGAAAATTCTATATAAAGCCTTGTAATCATAGTTTCCCTATTTTTTTAACTCTATATTGACAGCTCGGTGGCGCAGTGGTTAGCACTGTTGCTTCGCAGCAAGAAGGTCTTGGGTTCAAATCTGCAATCTGGCCAAGTTTGCAGTGGGTTCTTTCTGGGTACTATCGTTTCCTGCCACAGTTAAAGTCATGCATAAATTAGGGTTAGGTTAATTGGTGTTTCTAAAATATCTGTGAACATGAGTGCAAATGGTTGTCTGTCTCTCTGTGATAGACTGGTGACCTGTCCAGTACTCTGACTCCCACCCTATCAAATCTGGGATAGGCCCCAGTGTCACTGCAACCCTGGTAAAGATAAGAGGAGTGCAAGTTATTATAAATCCATTAACATTTTATGTTAACAAGACTCTAGACTTTGTTACACTTTGTTGAACACTCCAAAAATAAATAACTTTATAAATGAATGTAAAATAATCATGGAAAGGATTTCCACATTAATAAATGGCTTTCTATCACAATTAAGCATTTTTGTTGTACTAACGTAATTTGCATTGGTTGGATCAACTCAATTAAATTAAGGTGGACTCAACTGTAGTAAAACACTTGATTCATCATTAATTAATCAAGTTAGTCCAACTCAAGTACATCAAGTTGGATTAACAGAATTGCTTAATGCTAAAATAAAGCAATACAATTACGTGGAAATTCTTTCCATGATTTTTTTATGTTCATTCAAAGAGTTATTTTTTTGAGTGTATTATAAGGTTAATGTAAAGGATTACTTTGCAAAAAGGTAATTAAATTACGGTTACTTCCCTGTTCTCTTCCAGTCTATACAGCAATAACTGATATAGATGTGCTTCTGCCATAATATGTTTGTAAACCCTGCCTTCAAATGTTCACGTTTTCAGAAAAATTGGAGATTAAAATTTACTGTCTCTTTATCTGAACAAACATTTTAAATGGTCTTCAGTTAATAGGTACGCTTCATCAGACACTAGAAGGCAATAAATTAGTTGCCTTCTAAATTGTTTATTACCATTAGTTGCACAGTAACCAGGTAGTCTCAGTGTGCAGCAAATGGCCTTGAGGTGCTATTATCTTTATGAAAATAAATCAATAAATGAACAAGGATAAGTCTTCAAAACACAAAGCTTTCTTTATTTGGAAAAGCTTATACAACATTGAAAGTTACAGTAGTAGAATGAGGAAACTTTGATAATAATGACAGACATGGGAATAGATGCTCAAGAGTTCCCTCTGCTGGTGAGGAATATTTCATTGTGGTCTGACATGTTTTCAGTTTGATGGAAACTCAGTTTACAGCCCACATCAATGCTTCCCTGAGTAGCAGACCAGACATATGACTACACTGGTAAAACTGATACAAGAAACCACTACTAAGGGAGTCTGATAATAAGAAGAGAACTGCTTTAACCAAGAAACAAAACTCTGAAAATCTGGACTGACGAGTACTGTACTTGTAGCTCTTTCAGTTAAAATGATGTATTTATGGATAACAGCAAGAAAAATACCGAGCATTGATACATAGCGTGATCAAATAGGTTAAAATAACAAAAGTTGAGTGCAGGAAAAATTGCAATGAGGTATTTTGGTGATTTTTATGTTCAATTATGTCCTTTTTCTCCTTTGTTAGTAAAATGAGACATAAACCTCTAAAAAAAAAAAAGAAAGAAAAAAAAAGAGAACGGATCGAGTTGTTATTCAAATACAGCTTTAACACTGGGCTGCAAAGCGTGCCATTTGTAATACCCTGTTTTCACCACAATGTGGCACACTGTATCCACCTAGCTATCTGTCGTCCATCTTTGATATAAAACGCATTTCAGGATAATAGGAGTAAAGGTTCAGGTTATGATAGGAATATAAATGCAGATAATATGAGACAAAACAGTCCTTGAAGCCACACTGGCTGGATTGCCTCTGTTGTGGATGATAGCTCTAGTTTGCAGAATCTTGTTCTCAGCAGAATGCTGCTGATTGGCTCTTCTTTAGGTATCAGTTAGTCTTACAGGTAAATTACAGATTTTCGAAATTACAGTAAATACTTTTTTAAATCCCTTAAACCTAAGGTGTGTTTATTATGAGAGATTAACACAGAAAAGTAGAGCGTGTGTGTGGGAGGTGGGCGGTGGAGAGGGGCGGAGGGTCAGTTAAACCGGTAGCCTAAACTTTAATGAAACTTTATCTTAAATTCCACAAAAACGGCTTTTAGCTCTTCTATCAGCAGCAATAGTAACCTTTTCCTTGTTTTTAAATCAGATGACTGAACTTAAGCTAAAGTCGTACTAATATATTTACTGTCCTATTACAAACATTTCCAGTGTATTAACTGTTCAGAGAGTCCAGCGTCTGCAGAGCCACAGTGTGAGTCAGTGCGCACAGCCAGGGCGGCGCCTGACTATAAAATCTCTGTTGCTTGTTGCAGACGTCTGAACATTTGCACCTCTTCTGTTGCCACGTCCCAGCAACTGTACGGTAAGAAACTTTCTGCTCTTGTCCTACAGGTGTGGCTTTGCCACGATGTTTTTTTTAAATATAAACTTTAGTTGCTAAAACATACAGATATACAGCTAGGAGGTGTGAGAATAGTGTTTCATACTGTTTAACTTACTTTAATCCAGTCACTGCTTTGTATTTACTGAAGCTCCCTCTGTGAATTTCTAACGGTATCTAACGGATCCGTGTATTTCCTCTGCTGTCAACTAAGTTAAGCTGCAACTTTTAGTTAGTTTATCTTGTTTCTTTCTCTTGTTTTCAACCTTTCACTATAATTACACTTTAATTGTTTTTCCAGTGTTGTTTTTATTAATAAAATATATAATTAACATTTTTACATTAAGCTCTGATTCACATTTAAGACAGTTAACTAGGTCTCCATATAGTCAATATAAGCCTTTGTAAGGGTGTGGTTGGACTGTGGGCATGTACACACATGTGCTTGTTCCTGCAGTGTCCTATCTCATTACTCACATTGAATCCCACCATTTTGGGTCTAACTTTTTTCAGTTCAAGTTGTTCACATTTTCCATTCTCTTGCGCACAAATAACACACCCTCCCTCCTACTTCTCCTTTCTTTTAACTCTTACAGCTACAAAGACAGTAACTCAAATGTTGAGATTTTCTGTATTTTGCACAGTGGTTTACTAAAATTTCAATCACATACCTTTACTGTCTTCCCACGAGCATCACTCATCAGTGAGAAGTAAAACAAAGACCCAAATCTGTCAGTTCCATCAATAATGGATGAGTTTAACAGCATCTCAACCAAAGCAGCTTTCATAAATGCTTTCTATGGATTTGTTTGGAAAATGTCAGCTGAAGTTAAACTGACTTGCTATCAGTTGTCATAGTCAACATTTTCTGAACATTGTTTTTCAGTCTAAACACATTCCAGCAACCATGCCTTCAGAACTGGAAAACTGCATGGAAGGACTCATCAAGGTGTTCCACCGTTACGCCAAGGACGGTTCGCTCACCCGGCAAAACCTCAGACAGCTAATGGAGGCTGAGCTTTCCAGCTTCCTTAAGGTGAGATGAGACCAAAACGTAAATTGTGCAATCACACCGCGCATCATTTACACACTGTAATCCAATACTATGCCACTTCTTGTGCAATCTCACTGTTGCTGATGTATCCTCACACACCCTTTTTTTAAACACAGTGTCAAAAAGATCCTGCTGCTGTAGACAAGATCATGAAAGACTTGGACGCCAACGGTGATGGTCTTGTGAACTTTGAGGAGTTTGTTTCTCTGGTTGTTGGACTGTCTGTTGCATGTGAGCAGTGCTATCAGCTGCAAATGAAAAAGACTGGGAAGAAGTAGGAAGTACAACAGTGGAAGAGAAGCGACCAAAAAGCATTGCTTTTTGTTTTTTTTGTAAAGTTTTGTTCATTAAAAGTGCTGAATCATTTTAAATCTCTTGTGTCTTGTGTTTCCTAACTATCTAATCTTTAAGTTAGACAGATTTGTCCATAAATCCCCTTCAACTTTTTATACATGTGTTTTTTTTAAGCAAGCACCAGAACCATTTCCATTTGAGAAGCTGGTAAAGCTTAATCCAGACAGCTTTCTCTGTTGGCTTTGTAACTGAGTGAGTACTTTATGTTTCCCCGAGTGTTAAAGGGCAGATGAGCCACTCCCTCCCTGACAAAGTCCCTGCTTTATCACTGCTCTGAGGAATCTGCTGAATGTTGTAGGCATGAACACACCTCTCTCAGTGAGGCATAAACTCTCAGAGGATGTTGCAACTCTATGAATAAAACAGGTGATACCATTGCATAGTCAGTTTGATTTGTATTTTGCAAGCCCTCAACTGACTCACAAGAACAGCACATCACTGTTCTTGTGCAGATCACAAAAATCCCACCATGTTTCATGTCTGGTGAAAGTTGAATAACACCAGAGAAAGAGGAACAAGATAACCCCTTCACCACCCGTCTCTCATTATTCTTACTGAACAGAACAAATATCTTTTCTCTAAAACGAAGTCTTCCAGGCAGCCCTACCTCTCAGGAATGCTCCAACAATCAAATCTGTTATTGGTAGATGTGCAGATAGACTGTGAGCCACTGTTTACTATGATGGCCTGCCGATCCCAGTGAAGTCATCAAAGCTTTTACTGCCTGAGAAAAGCCTGCCTGAAAGGCTAAGCCCAGGAGGAAGAGGTCTTCTTGAGCTCTTGGCAAACACCGCTTTGGGCAGGGCTTAACTACTGGTTTGTCAGTGTTCATGGATACTGGGAAAACACTGAAGTTGCTATGTGACTATGTGATGAGTCTTAAGTGTGTGCATTTGTGTGTGTGTGTAGCTAAAGTTTGCACCACTTGGTTTACAGAAGCACCACGCCCATGTGACCCACAGCTGCGATTCCGAGACTGCTGCTTTTTCAGTGCATTTCCTTGTGTTTAGTGCCTCCTGCAGGCTATATGTTTATCATGTTGCCTAAAAGAAAAGAAAATCATCATTTGTCTAGATGAATTACTCTTTGATCTTACCAGACGCTGATCGGTGACACCACTGTATGTGTCATGTCTAGTTTTCTAACACAGACTTTCTAATATATTAATAATGAAATTTGTCGCAACATTTTTCTCACTGAAATAATCCTGCATGCTTTTGGTTTTAAAGTTGCTCAAGTCATTCCTGGCGGGGGCGTTCTGTGGTGTGAGTTCGGGGAGTACCAAATATTCACTGTGGCATGCCACGCCCATCTTGGACACACCAAAAAAAAAAAGCCCCTCTCTGTGGAAACTTGTTAAACAATAACATTAATGTCCAAAACATACCAACCATCCCCAACGTCCAGTTTGCATGCAGATGTTGCCATGGGAAATAACTATTGTGATCCTGATACTGATTCAATTCACAGTTACATTTAGTTGTATGTTTTTTTTATCCCCAGTGTTCAAATGTGAGCGTTTGAAACCAATAGACATTTAAATCCCACAGTTTAAAACCTATACTTGGCACTTTATCCACAACATTAATATCACCTGCTTATTGTTTTGTAGGTCCTACTCAAGCTGCCAACACAGCTCTGTCCCATTGGACCTGCGTGTTTGGGAGAGGAAACTTTGTGTCCTGCTTGATTCATCGAAGCCCAGCCCTGCAGCCCACAGGACACAAAGTATCCACAGCAGGGCTGGGCTTCGATGAATCAAGCTTGTTCAAATTGCAATCTGGGTTTTGGAGTTCTACCCCCTCTTCTGCCTTCAGGGAGTGAAGGCAGAAGAGGGGGGTAGAACGTTATATTGAAAAGGCAGGGTCAATACATTTCACCTGTCAGTGGTTTTAATGTTGTTGCTGCTATGTAAAAATGGTAAATGGCCTGTATTTGTATAGCGCTTTACTAGTCCCTAAGGACCCCAAAGCGCTTTACACATCCAGTCATCCACGCACACATTCACACACTGGTGATGACAAGCTACATTGTAGCCACAGCCACCCTGGAGTGCACTGACAGAGGCGAGGCTGCCGGACACTGGCGCCACCGGGCCCTCTGACCACCACCAGTAGGCAACGGGTGAAGTGTCTTGCCCAAGGACACAATGACCAAAACTGTCCAAGTCGGGGCTCGAACCGGCAACCTTCCAATTACAAGGCGAACTCCCAACTCTTAAACCACGATCGCCCCGAAATGTGTATTTTATAACCTGATTCTGCTGTTTCACTTCTCTTCTGTTCTTTTATTGATAGACACACAGAGAGGGTGCTTTGAACCAGTTTAACTGACAGAAGTTGACACCAAAACAGGTTACCAAAATAAAGTGTCACGGACCCGGCTCTGGAGGACTCGGGGGTCCGTGAGCAGTTTGGACTGTTGTTGTTATTATTATTATGATTATTATTATTATTATTTGGTGATGTGTGTGTCTTTCTGCACAATGCTGTGTTAGTCTGTGTTCCACTCATTATATGTATAGGCAGGGTGTGGGTGTGTACATGTGTGGCTGGAGGATGGAGAACAGCCACATGCAGGCCTGATGGGTGTGCCCCTGCAGGAGGACTGGCCACACCTGAAGTTCCTGCCACACACCTGTTGGTGATCAGGGCTCGTTGGGGGAGCTACTTAGGAGAGTGTTGGAGCTCCCACTGGCGTGGGATCATTGAGTTGTCTACCCAAGTTAGTGTGTCTCTGTCAGCGTACAACAGTGCTGTTCGTGTATGCCTGCCGGGGTTGGTGTTGATGGCTGTTTTTGTGGTTTTCCCCCCAGGTGGAAGAGTGGACCAGAACGGCAGCATACACAGGGTGTGCGAGAACACAACAGCGGGGAGCATGAGCACACGGGATTCAAGGGAGCAACGGGGAGTTATTGTGTTTACAGCCTTCACTGTAAATAAAGTGCACTGTTTGCATTGCAGAACCATGTGTTTTGGGTCCTCATTCCCCCATATCCCCATGGTCTGCCAGCCAGACCGTGACATAAAGAGCCTATGACCTAAAGGTTTAGGTGCATACATGCAAACATGAGACAGTGGTTAAATCTAACCATGTACTTCTAGTTAAGTATGTTTTGAAGAATTTGCAAGTTTTCACCCACCTTAAAAAAACCTTGTTTACAAGGCAAGGTTTTCTAGTGCAGTGTTGTATGCAGTTTTTTTTATGTTATAATAAATTTAGTGCATGAAGATGAGTGTTTTACAAATGAGGCACTAAACTTATTAATTGAATGAACAACAACCAGACTGGCTGTAAAGGCCTTGAACATCAATACATGGAAACATTAATTTACTCCCTCCAGCTAAAGTCATGAAATATGAATGATAATATTATGCATGTCTTGTAGCCTTTCACTTCAGTTTTTACTTTTGATACTTCAGCTGATACAATGAAGATGATAGATGGACATATAATTTTAGAGCATCTTTTAGTGCAGTTCTGTTGAGGTCTTTTTTTTCTATTATTAGTGTTACCTTAATAAAACTCTTGAATACTTCCTCCAGTCATTTCCTGTGATTTGTATCTTAAACTGTCTCTGCTGCATACCTTCAAATAGTTTCCCTCCATGGGTACTTGTAGATGCATGACTTCATTATTTCTATAATCCTAGCTACAAGGTTCTAGGGTGACATTCACTATGCAGCATTTGCATGACGTATGTCTTTCTGAAGAAACAACTTACATTAGAGCACACATGGCTGGAGCTGGACACTAAAAATGTCTGTTTGTAACCACTAGATGGCACATATCTGTAATTATAGTGTTAAAAATTGGTCTGAGTGAGTGTGATTAAATCCACTCCAGTTGTACTGAACAAACAGTTTTGTGTGTATCACAGCTGGATATGACACAGGATGTGGTGACCATGGATACTCCCTCCATTATTTGGTAAATGTGAGTGAGTGAATAAGATCGAGAAAAAGGCGACAGGAAGATGTGTGACTCACGATTTCCACATAGTGAAGAAGGATGGCACAATGTTTAAAAATGCTGTGAATGATGGTGACAGTGAATTCTAACCTATCATCTGCTTTCAGCTGCGCTTTGAAGTTGTTAATTACAGGACTAAACAATGCCCAGACCAATGCCAGAAATATCTAATTCAAGTTATGCAACAGGCCACACGGACAGGGAGAAACAAACATGCAAACAGAGTTGCCACAGTGCAGCTTTTTTTCTTTTCTTCCTTCCTTCCTTTGCTTTTTTTTGGACTCTATGACTTTGGTTTTGGGGACATGACTATGAGTCACAGCCTCTCTGCAAAATTGTAAAGAAGAGTGGATCCACTCACAACCATAACAATCAGTGCTAGTGAGTCACTGTCCCCGTGTTTTTACTTTAACATAATGTGCATCTCAAACAAGTCAATAAAAAAGAAACTTTTTAATTACATACAAAAGAAACACACCAGAAATTAGTTGGTACAATTAAAGGTTCCTGCGATGCATGTTTTGCTTAAAACATACGTAACTGTTCATTTCTTTGGTCCTATTGTGCCAAGCGGTAAGTTTTTAAAAAGAGGAAGTGGGTTTGGTCATCCTGTTAGAAAAGTCAAAAAGAATTTTAATGCATTTGTAGAAAAACGGCATTTACATAGTAGCACAAATGCTCCACAATTATGTATGAAATCTTGTAAAGATCAAAGTTTCTTATTCGGGGCAAAATTACTTCTAAAATCTCTAAAAGCAGATCAAACATTTGTCCCATGACTCCACCACCAAAAGTCACAAGAGACTCGTTTATGACGGAATGAAATGTACGAACCAAACTGTGGACTTTCTTTTACAGAATTAACAAAAGTGACCTTCAAATGAAGCACAAAACGTGATTCAGTTCACATGTAAATGCTGCTTCCCTCCATTCATCAGTAAAAGCCTCGAAGAGAGATGCCACAAAATGCTGCTCATGGGGTTTCCCCAAAATATAGTCACATAAAGTCAATCAAATGGGTGAAATAAAAAACTGTAAATCAACA